ACTGAAAACCGCAAACCGCAAACCGCAAAATGTCACGTGACTACGGCCTTGTGGTCACGTTTGCAGTTTGCAGTTCACGTTTGAACCGCAGGAAGGGCTTCCAGCGGTAAGTGATTTACGGCAAAGTTTTTTGCCACAAAAAATTGTACAGCCTCGCGTTTAAAGGTATGAACTAGCTTTTTATAACCGTTTGCGATGTGTTTGTTTGATTTTTGATCTCTAATCAATGAATTATGGCTGATTTTTGGGTGATTAAAGTGATGCACTTCGACTTGATGAAAACAACATGGCGGCCCTAAACAATGAATGCGTAGTTCAAATCAATTTTATATTCCTTTCTGCCGTACTAACAAAGGATAGTATTCTGTTCCAATACAGAGTTAATTTTTTTTTTCTATCTTGTTACTGAATTCATAACCTAACTCAGTCTCTGTTTAGTTCCTATTTTTAACGTATCACTCCGCGAATTTGATTTTATTTCTTTGAGACTTGGGAGCCCAGGCTTCACACAGCCTTCTGGTTTCTTCTGGGCTCCCTTGCAACCTTACAATTCCTATATGAATTCTTGTATTGTATTATATTTTGGGCAAATAAAAATGAACTGAACTGAAAAGAACTGAACGCCTTGCTAAAGGTTGAAATCTCGGCAACGCAAAACTGCAAACGCGTAACTGCGGTTTGCGGTTTGCCTGATGCTAAAGGTCTCTAGTAGTAAGTCGCGTGTACCCCATGGAAGATTGTGTGAAGGGGTTCCAGGGTAATTTATTCAAATTACCATACACGTAACGTGACACCAAGTTACACGTCCCTTTTAGGAAAGCAGCAACCTTTTTACAAATCAGCGGAATGTTGAAATTTCAGTGATTTGCTAGTTTTCAAGTCATGTTATGAAGGTGAGCTGCAGAGCCTTGCGTCGCGAGAAAAAAAAAATGGACACTGAAAGGTAACTCAGTGTAAAAATCCAGGACGTGCGTTAAACTCATTTTGTAGGAGTGTCATTTGTAATCATGATTCCGACTTCTCGTTATGTTCATTTTTACTAAAGTAAATCTATTATCTATTGAAGCCTTTTGGACTTGACCAGCGGGAAGTATTTTTACTTTCGAGTTCAGAATTAAATGGCACCCGACGCCATTCTCAGTTGCTCGTTTTTCAGGAATTTATATATATATATATATATATATATATATATTTTTCGACTGAAAATTTCGCCGTTTTAGCTTTTCAGAAAGCAATACCTATTTAGATACCGAAATTTCCATCATTTCCCTGCCCTTTGGTGGGCTAGAAATAACTTTGTGTGATTTTCTTCTTTGGTGACACGGTTTCTGCTTTGTTTACATTTCACGTCCTTGTCGCTTGCGGTGGCCCGAGAGGCTATATTTAAAATTTTATTTTTCGCAAGCGTTTAAATTCGCAGAGCTGAAACTTCAGGTCTAGTTAAAAAAATCACAGTTCTTTCATAAAGTATAATCGTATTTTAAATTTGAGACATAGCAGAATCGACTTTTTGCGGTTAAAGTTGGGCGTTATTTCGACCGCCAAAACAGCACACAATCAAGGTGAAAACAATGAAAGCCTAAAACTATATTACAAAAGTTATTTTGCGAGACATTTTTATGCAGTCTTAAAGCTTTGGGTAACTGGTAAATGCATGTGCAACATCAAGTCAATAGGAACTTTTGCGCGCTTGTACTGCTTTCTTGAAAACTGTTGAAATTTGCAGCAATTTCGCGCCGAATAAAAAAAATGTATTTTTATCGAATTTTTGAACTTTTCCAAATTTCTCAAAATGTAAAGCGCTTGAGGATTCCTTAATATCATTTCTTGAAATAGTGCACCTAAAGGGTTGTTTGGGTGGTATTAGCTAAAATTCGAATTTTTAGGACTGATTTGAGATTCTCGATATTTTCCGACATTGCCTATGTCACCCCACACGCATGCGCGAGCCAATGAAAACAAACTTGAAAAAGTCGGCCCGTCTTTTTCAAGTTGTGTCGGAGATTTTGGAAGGCTGTTTTTATCTGTCTAAATCTCAGCCATCGTTCGATAGTTAGCGAAGTTTTGTATTAAGAATCGTTCTACGGTGATTACAGAATAATTTTTTGGCGTTATTTTGAAATTGTTTGCCTGTGGAATAGTTTTTACGTGGATTTACTGTGTCCTCTTATCAGCGGCCGTTGTAATGGCAGAGTTAATGACGGCTACTCTACAATGAGTGACGGAATCTTTGATGGAATCTTCCCTATAGTTCACAGAACCTTTCTATTGAGTTATTTTAGAGGTTGCTGGCTCTTGGATTTTTCTTGTGCTCAAAGTATGTGGACATATAATAAAGCGGCTATCGAGTTGGCGGCGGCCGTTTTTGGTAAACGATTACAAGAGCATCAGGCCATGAGTTTCGTGACCAACTAAACTCTTGGCGAAGGAAACATTATAAAATTCGGCTAGATTCCTTCTTGTATTTATCTGGATTCACGGCAAAGAGAAACACGACCGTTTGCTCGTCCAGATTGTTCTCAACGGACTTAGAGAGGCACCTTTGTACGAGTTACATCCTGTAAATGCCATATTTTTGAACCGCTTGTGTTCGAGCATATTTTCGGAAAATAGCAGAGTTTACTTTCCCTTTTTATCAACGGACTGCTTATAGTGGAGTAGTATACTAATGATGCTTGGTTCTGTTTTTCTCGACGTCGCAGTGATTCGGCACGATCGAACAATTTTGCGCGATAATGTATGTTTCCCTAAGATCAAAACAAAGACTTGATGTCTCTTGTTCTATCAGCATCTAAATTATAAAATCACTAGCGACAGACAAGTCTAATTGTTAATGATTTGAAACAGTCTTGGTCTTTA